TTTCCCTCTCGGTGAGGTCTTGCCTCTTCAAGGGAAGAGAAGCTGGAAGTGTGGGAAGGATGGGATTCATGCAGTCTTGAGATTTTGAAAAGGGTTAGTGGGGAAGAACAGAAAGATGGAGAGGCTGCAAACTCCTCTGCTTTTACTGAAAGACTGGAAGGAGGTGACACTCAAACCTGGTTGAGGTTACACCAGGTTGAGATTAAAAGGGATGGTAAAACTCACAAATGCCATGAGCAGGTTAAAGGGGAGGCAGCCCTTTCAACTGGCATGTGTGTCTCTTCTGACAGCCCTTATATCTACCTGTCTTGTTACTACAGACTCGCTAATGCAAACACAATGAGATCTTTTAGGGGTCTGTAGAAGTTTGCTGGCAAAATAATGGCTCCAAGGCGAGATCCTGGCTATGTTTGGGCACAAGAGACTGCAACCGCCGATAACTAATAGTAAGCTGACCTTCATGCTGCCATCTAGTGTTTCCTCACAGACAGAAAAAACATGCCAAAGAAGAAACTTCGAAGCTCCATAATGCTGTATCCAGAACAAATGTAATTTATTCCTGATGAAATACAGTGCTGGACAACACATAAGCTGAAGGAGAGGGAATGGGGAAGGGACATGCGGAGGACCCACTGCTCAGGGTGAATATTTAGGGAGACATCTTTTCTTAAAAAAAAATTGTACCTATTTCACCCAGGAACAGAGAGAGACATCTCCATGGCAAGCTAATTACTCAGAAGCAGCATTTGTCCTCATTTGTTTTTCACTCCGTGAAATTAGTATGTCTGTTTGCAAGGTGCAACAGTGCAGAACAGAGCAAGAATCCAAGCAGAAGCTTGTCTTAACCAAGAAAGACCAGCATAAGAAGCTTGTCAGGTTCTTCTTGTCTGTCCTTGCTACCCTCATAAAAAACACTTGGTATGTTTACTTTACAGCCATCAGATGCTGATTTTTCTTTCAAGTACACATGACAGCTAACAAAAGGTAACAAGTTATTGCTGGGGGCACATGCAAAAGATTTGCCTCTTGGCCCTCCAAAGCTTGATCCCTGGCTTTGAGGAGCTGTAGCAGGATGCTTTTCCAACTGCTGCACATCCTGGATTCATGCTGGAACTGTAGAACGCTAACCAGAGTTCATGGGCAGGATGATACAATTACAACAGAGAGAGCATTCTTTTTCCCTGGGCTTCTTTAGGGTGTCTTGAGTCAAAGTCCAAAACAAACACAAAGCATCCAAAAGCATTGTTCTTTTTTAGAGACTCTGACTTCTAAGCTTTGTTTCCTGACAACCTGAGCAGGAAAGCTGCCAGCAAGGACTGTACAAGTGAAAAATGGCAAAAATCAGCTAAGAAAACAGACTGCCCAGAGGGAAAGGAAAGCCATAATGAGCAGCCTTTAAAGGGCTCCTGCTGGAATTGTATGAAATCAGGTACGATTTTAGTAATTTGCAGGGAAGTTTTTCCATTTATAATAAAATTTTGGTAGCAATAGAACATGTGCGTTTGAACATTATGTACGTGAAGAGGAGTATCAGCACAGCAAAGAACAGAAACAAATTCTTCAGCAGAAAGGACCATGTACTTCTCTGCTTACAAATCACCTCTCAAGTCAAAACATGAAAATCGTCTCACGCCCTTAGGTCTTTCAAAGACCTAGTCTGCAGAACAGAAAGTCCTCAGGTGTGCAATGGTACAGTCCATGTGTCTCATTCATACTATTTGTGTTTTTTCACCGAGTTGTATGCTCTGAATATAGGGCTTTTATTTTCCAAAGCTCTCTTTAAACACTCATTGCTGTAGAAGGAAGTCACATTCTCTTTCATTTCCTTGTTCTTCCCGATTCCATTGTGTCATGATGACACTCAGCAAGGATAAGTGAATGAAAAAAAGATACCCTTCAGCTCTCTTCCAAAGTGCTCAGGATATCTGTGGATTTAAAAAGAGCAAGAGACTCCTGTTTTACAGCATCATCTCCAAAGAGCCCATGTGAGAACGTTACAGGGCAAAGGCTTGAAAACCAAAAGCACGTGTCTGTAAGCAGTCTCTTTGGGATCTGCATCATCTGCTTGCTTACAAAGTGGCCACACGCTTGCTGGTGTGGGATACGGGGCCCACAGAGCAATGGCCATACAGCTCCAAAAACAACCTATTCGCCATCCAGCATGGAGAGGCCACTGTCGGAGCTCTGGCATCAGAGTTCACCCACTGCTTTTACTCCATGGGGAAGTGGGTGAGGACTTTGTAGACAAGACGCAGGCCAAAGCCACAGGAATCAGCACAGAGCTTGCCGGGGACATACCATGTTCTTCGCTCTCCAGTCCTCTGACAAAGTTTTAAGTGGGACAATATATTTTTATAACTCCTTTTCTATAAATCTTTTGACAAGAGTTTTTGTGTAAATGTTGCAAAACAAAATGTATTATTTCTTGAGGAACAAATCTGCCCCCGCACCCACACAACTTCATTTCTTTCCCTCCTCCTGTTCCAATGATAGATTAAACATGCCAGTGGGAAGCTTGCACAGCTCCAGCATTGGGTGGATTTTTTTTTTAAATCAAAAGGTAAAAAGTTTGGTTGGTCTTACCTTCTCAGTTTTGGGGACAGAGATTTTGCCCTTCAGACAAGCTAAATAGTGATAGAACGAGAGGACATGGCCTCAGGTTGCACCAGGGGAGGTTTAGACTGGATATTAGGAAACATTTATTTACTGAGAGGGTGATGAAACATTGGAACAGGCTGCCCAGGGAGGTGGTGGAGTCACCATCACTGGAAGTATTCAGAAAACATGTAGACATGGCACTTCAGGATATGGTTTAGTGGACATGGTCGTGTTGGGTTGACAGTTGGACTCGATGATCTTAAAGGTCTTTTCCAACCTTAATGATTCTGTTATTCTGTTAAATAAATAGGAAGGACATCAACTTCAGAATGTTGTTTGTCTCATGATTCACTATAACATTTCCCTAGTACCAGGCATGGCTGCCTCCCGAATAAGCAGAGTTAAAACTTTCCTGTAGGTGTCTAAGACCTCCTGGGCAGAAGGTCTTTCAGCTGGGTCCTCCTTCTTACATGCTGCATGGATGTCAAACAAATGCAGTCGCACAATGTCACTTCCTTCAACGTGACCCAAGAAAAAATTGGAGACATCTGGGATTTTCCAGATGTCTGTTTTCTCGTCATAGGGGGGCATGAGGTCATCCTCAAATGGAACAGCTTCTCCATAGGGCCAGCGCTGCTCAGGAGCTACAAAATTGCCCCGGAGCTCCCGATGACCACACTTCACCAGCCTGCCGGCACTCCTGTTCACAAGAGGCAAAGCGTCCAAATCATTCACCAGGACATGAAAATCACTTGTTAGGAGATACTGAGAGAGGACCTTGTCCAGGTCATTCGAGTCGCACATCACTAGGGTGCCCAGAGGGCTGCTGTGCAGGTACCGGATGATGCTCACGTAGTCTATAGCAAGCATCAACCTGCGATGCCAGGTGTTCATGCCCTTGTACTTGGGCATGTGGAGAGTTTCATTCAGGCCCCTCAGGGAGCCCAGAGGATGGTACTCGGTGAGGATTGTGAACTGCTGCTCACAGTAGCCAACCAGCCGGACAACGTGCTTGCTTTGAAGTGCTTTCAGCATCTTCAGTCCATGGAGAAAGTCCTCCTTCAGCTCTGAGTTCGTGAGCTGTGAAAGGACGACTTTGTTTTCCTTCCACTCGGAAAGGAAGACCTGAGAAGACACAGGAAAAAGGTAAGACACATGGAGAGCCTTCTTCGACAGACTGCTACCAGCTGCTGCTGACTTTGAAGTGACTGCTTAGTCACAATTGCAAATTACAGTCACCAAGCACAGTCAAGCCTTTAGGTAGGGCCATGTAACTGTCACAGCAAGCCCTTACTGACATCGTAATTACATCACGATTTCCTAAGTTTTCTTTGGAACGGGCAATGCAGATGAATTAAATAATCTAATACCACCCCACCAGCCACTCTTACTCTGCCACGATTGTACCACACTCCACAAGTGCTTCACTGATCTCTGTGATCTCGCTTGTGTAGCTGGGTGTCATTCAGTGTCAGGGAGGTGGCCCAGGGCTCTGGTCACACGTTCCTACCTGTTCTGTGCACCTTATCAGTAGCCATATGCCCCAGATGTCTACAGTAATTAGCTGCTGCAAGGATAATTATAAGAGCAGTGGGGGCATTAAAGAGCCAGCAAACAGTGAAAGCTCTTTATCCACAGGGGAGAAGGAAGGAAATGCAAACTCACCTTTTTCACAGCGCCTTCACCAACACACTTGAGTTTCCTGACTTCCCTGTTTATGGCTTCGCAGGAGAGCCACGGGGAACAATTCTTCACGGCTCCCAATTTGAAGTACCCGAAAGAGCAGAGGCCAGGGTCTGTTTCAGCCCGTCCCGAAGAGATGTAAAACTTGTTGAGGTACAGGTAGAGAAGGGCATTAAGGAGGAGAACAGCCGCAAGCAGTAACGCCAACGAGACGGACGACACCTCCCTGGGAGGAAACTCCCTCCTAACAAAATGCGGTTTCTTTTCCATGGCCATGCCTGCTGCATTCTCCATGAGAGATGGGCACTAAGCAGGACCCTCTTCCCAGCCCAGGGATGAACGCCGGTGGGGCTTCTTCACTGCAGGCTACATGGTGGCCTCGCAGACACTGCAGACCTGAGCCTGCAGCCTACAAGAAGGGCCACGCGTGGCAGCGGCCTGCGTTAAAAGCGGTTTCAAGCTCGACGCTCGCCTCGCTCTTCATCCTCCTGGCTCTCGAAACAGGCGGGACCGGCCACGGGCCTGACCCCAGGAAACAG